ATATTCTAATATGGATGATTTGTATATGACGATGGAAATTGAGAATTTGTATTTTTCTTGCTGCTTTATCGAGACTGATTTGGTGATATTGTCTTTGGTATAATTGGAAATGATATTGGAGGAGATTTAAAATTAACACGAAATATTGAATGAATGGAATAGATGAATATGTTTCTGAAGATTTCTACTATTACTGGATTTGGGTGAATTTCTTACGAGAACACGTAAGACGAACACGTTTCAATTTAAAGTACATAGTCGTCTCACACTTGAAAGATGAAGTTCAGTTTCGTAGGAATATAGGATTCCCTTTTCGTCGTTCCTTTTGTTCCACCCTTTCTTTGTTGTTTGCAGTTTTTTTTTCTTTTTTTCTTTTTTTTTTTCAAAGTCTCGGGGAACAGAGGAAGAAGTATTTACAATTTTTATTTGAAACAGCAGTTTGAAGTAGCAGTTTAAAGTCGACTAATATTATCTTCTGCTTTGTGACATCGCTTTTACGTATTCCCTTTGCCTCATCTCTATTGTTTTAATCCTTTCCACGCGTTCGTAACCAGTGAAAAGCAGAAAGATGTTTACTATTTTATTCGGCTGAAGGAACGTTAATGTTGAAAAATAAAATACGTTTTCTTATTATATATATATATATTTTAAAAAAAGTTACAAGTAATATTTTTATAGATATTTTACATCTTTTATTAAACGATAGAAATTAAGTGTGCATATAATTTATAGTTTATAATATATATCAGAAGAATCGAAATAAACGATCATTAACGATCGTAAAACGAAAGTTAAATTATGATAATTTGAATAAATTACATGCGATGTAATATCGCGCGTACGTTGTTCAGAATCTATTGCGTAAACCTAATTCTAACGGTAAGGAAATAAATGATTTCATTCGAGACTCGTTTATCCATTGGAATTTTTTTCAAGACGAGAGATTCGAGATATTCCTTCCATTCCGGATATTTCTTTTGCATTTACAACGCTGCAAAGAATATAATTTCTTCAACAAGATTCTACGATTCGAATAATATAATAATAATAAAAAAGAATTACTCCAATATTACGACAAACGATTTCTCCACTTCCTTTAACTAATAATTAATCGAAATCTAAAAATCTTGCAAACAAGAAAATAATTGTTCACAAACTTCTAAAATAGAAATTCTATTGAGAAAATCAAACCACCTACACAGTGAACCGGAATATCAATCAGCGATACAATCATTCCCCGTTTAATCAAGCAGGGGCACGCGTACGACGACGAGCCTCGTAGCCAAATGACTCCATATTCAAACAGTAAACCTGGTAGGCCTAGAACCACGCGTGGTTTCCGCCCGAACGATTTCATATTCGAAACATAGGCCAAACAGCGACTGGGCTGTGCAGGCCCCGCGAGAATCGTTCAAGC